GCCATTAAATTAAACATCTGGAAATAAAGAGCCAAACAAGGAACATGCGGGGGTCAATCCAACTGGAACCGATAAGCTATAAAAATCGTTGTATGAATAACCAATAATTTGCAGGTAAATAAAATATTTTATTGTCCCTTTTAATTGGTTTTCCGAGATTTTTGCATGCGATTTCAGTATCTGTATGTCTTTTTTTTTTTAATCCTCAAATTTGCGCTCCTAATAACTAAAAGACGAATACGAGAGAAATAGGGAATGGATAATGGATAAAGCATTTCACGCTCCAGAACGTGAATGCAAATGCATATGATTGAAAGGGGGAAGGGGAAAGAAGGTCAACCTAATTGAACTTAGTTGTTGTGTTGCTGCTGCAGACGAGAACTCCCCAGTGCCTTAGCGTTCATGTAGATCATCTAGACACCAAACAAGAATAAAAGCTGGCCCTTACACTCTTGAGGGCTCGCGTGTGTATCGCCGCCGGATCAGCATCGGCAGCAGCCAAGGTATAGCATTATCGGTCACGTAGTAAAACAAACATTTTCATAAAAATGCCATACATAAGCTGTTGCGCATTCGGCTTCGAAGAGGGGGCGAGGACTCGGCATGGAAACTACTCATAATGGATGATAATCGTTTCTGTATTGCAGTGGGACCGGGACCTTCGACTGAGCATTTTGGCAATGCCTGTGAAGCGCCACATGCCTTCAGTTTTTGGTTTACCTGCAAGTCTGCCCATCCGCCAGACTAGATCGCTTTGCACTTTTCGCTCTGGGAAGCAACGTGGGCACATCTCGGGCACTTGTATTTGTTTTTACCAGCTTTTCTTTGCTTATCTTATGCAAAATTACTTAAAATGTGGTTTATTATTAGTTTAAAATAAATAAGTAACTTGACAAATGGCTTAGCAGGTGGAATTCCTTAAAGTATTCTAATTCATGTACAATTTTCCACAAAATGAACGTTAACTTGACGCAGGTCTCATTGCAGTGCCGGATTGTATGACAATCAGATAATAATACCTCTGAGATACAGGGCAATTCCCTTTATAACCATGAGCCGTTGACAGGCGCCGCATGCTGCCCCCAAGGAGGCGGGGTGGGCGGCGTTTAGGATGAGAGCTCTCTACTTTGTCGGCGTGCAAATTTATTCTGGGAACAAAAATTTATGACACGCAACTTCGCACACCCGCTGCACGTAAACAAACATGCACCCTCACCCTCATAAAAGACAGCCAATAAACTAAACGACGAGCCATCCTCCTCTTGAAGTCCCCCTCTCGAAAGGCCGTATTTCGATGCTTGCAAAAAAAAGGGAAGGAAAGAATCAGGCTTACCCTAATATATTTTGGCTTTCACTTTCATATTCAGAGTTTTGGCAAACAGCGAACGACTAAAGGACAGGACTTTCTCTTGCATCCCTTCCCCGAAAAAATGAGCATCTACCCCTGCGACTCGGGGGTTTTCTATTTCCCGTCATCGCTTTGATTGCAATTCAATTGCAAAATTGGCAAAAACATCAATTTCATGCCGCCGCAGAACAATCATCAAGTGCCAAACCATTACGTAATCAGGAGCAACAATGGTGGGGGTGTTGACGGGGGAGGGTAGAACGAGGACGAGGGGTGTGACCCAATAAGTATTGGGCAAACATGTTACCCATATCCTAATCCTGTGCCCTGCTCAACGAACCCCATAAAGGATACTTAACTCGACTTTACACAATCTGATTTTCGGCTTGCAAATTTTTCCTTCTGCGTGGCGCATTTTCTGAGTTTGCCAATTTTCCTATCTGCTTTCTTGTGCGGGAGAGGGTGGCTTGTTGTGGTTGTTGATTTAGTGGTGTTGTGATTTCTTGGCTCTGCCATTGTTGATTTCGGGCCTTTTGTTGTTATTGTCGCTCTTGGTGTTCAAGGTAACCAGGAAATATTTGATAAACGGTTTAATCGCATTTGCATTAAAATAAGTAACGAAAGAGTCTATCGACGGCGAAAGAAGAGAAAAATTGTGAAAGTGATGTTCATTTTGTGCAATTTGTAATCAAATTAGCGGCCAGGGAGTCTGATTAACTATCATGGCAGTGATTTGGACTCAGCGAAAGGTAATTCTAGATCGAGCTGGTTTAACTCGAAAAACTGTCTGATTTAATTTTAATATTTCAATGCAACAAAGTTGTGTACTTCTCAACCAGCATTTATAAAACGAACTCAATCTCTTAACTCCTAAAGTTATCGTTAGGATAACTTTTCATCGTCCCATCTTTAGTTACTCAAAAGTTACTTTCATTCACTGAGTATTATGCTAATCTCGATTCATGCCCTGCTATACAGGCAAAACAAAAGCCATAGGCTCATGTGCAGCTTCCATCCACAACCCTCGTCGCTGAGGCGATTGAAAATACTATTGGCAATGCCACCCTGCGGCCTGAATCGGCCTGCTGTCGCTCAAAAAGTTTCTGCCACCAAATCCAATTGATTTTAACCAATTTCTCAAACTCCTCAGCCAAGGAAGAACGAGAATACAAGAAATACGTGCTAGGCGGAAATAAGAAACAAAAAAATAGCAAAAAAATCAATTGAAAAAACTTTTTATTTTTCCCGATGACAGTGAGGAGTCTCACGCCCACGACCCACCATCTCCTGGCCACTAAGCCTCAAGCGGTCCAAGTCCAAGCACTCAAAGCACCATTGGGTCCATACTTGTGCGTCGCATGAGTGACATAGAAATGGGAAAAAATGAGAACTAAATCCGGCGGCGCGGCGAGTCCTGCGACAGCTCGAAGGTTTCTCATTGGCCGTTGTGCAACACATGGAACATGGATTGTCAATGGAGTTGCGTATCCAAATGGGCAGCCCCCAGCAAAATACATACATACACGAGCGTATCTATATTGCTGTCTGTCCTGGTCGGTATATATCGTAGTGAAGGCTGCTTGAAAATGTAGCAAATAAAATGGAAAAGATACCAAATAAAAAATGACATTTGGATACAAATCGAAATCGGAAGGCGATGGTGGATGGTGGATGGGCAGGTCGGGCATAAGAAGTTCGGAGAAAATTTCAATTGAATATTAAACGGCAGCCAACTGCTGTTCAGCTGACTTGGACGTTAGGGTAAACTTGAGGTTGGATTATAGAATTTCTTTTGAGCTTAGAGCTTATTCATAATTAAGAATACTTGGTACGCTGACGAAAATTCCATGAAATTTCAATATCTATATCTATCGAACGAGAAACCGTTCTCAAAACTTGTTTGAGACTTACTTGACGCACGTGATTAATACGAGATGTTCCACTAAAAAAACAACAATAAGGAGAAAAATACATTTAAAATAAACTCAACAAAATATTAACTAACTGTATTTAAGTTTCTAGGTGTATATGTATAAAAGCAAAACTAAGTCGATTTTTTTACTGAATTTTTTTATCACTTTTTAAGCATCTTAATAACATTAAACCGTAGTTCAAATAAAAGTAAGCCATTGTTGAGTATAATCGTATAAATTGAAAAACAACAAACTCATAATTCTTTTTTCATTTATTTTTCCGATTGTTTGAAATACATGATGAATTCGCCGAACCTGCCCGCTCCGACTTTTAATTAATAGATATTTTATCCAGCCAGCTTCTAAGCTCAGTTTTTGTAGAAACAGAGAGACACAATGATGCTGATCAAGAATATATATACTTTAGAGTGTCGAACATGTCTCCTTCACTGCCTTACAATATTTTGACTGCAATTATAATAGCTCTACAGAAGTGAAGTAACAGAACATAGACTCTTTAAATTAAAATATACCCAAATGTTATCCAATTGAAGTCAGCGTTTTCTTGAAGTTTGTCATTATGTATAACGCCTCCAACAAACTTCACGTGGGCTTTGGTCATTATGGCCGAGCACAGAGCAAAGAACGAAAACGAAGACATAAAAAACCTTGAGAAAACTTGCGCTTTTTCTTTTTCTGGTAGTCCATTGTGCTTGGGCAAGACCGCGAGGTGCAGAGCAAAGCGATGAAAAAAGACATCCAGGCAAACTGTTGTTCAAAGTCAAGGCAAAATCTTAAAGTAATAAAGTAGCCGCCATCGCGAGGTCATTGCTGAACCTGCTCCAAAGTGTGGATGACCTTAAAGTGACCCGTTTTTCGGCTCCACATTGTGGCAACGTCGGCTCTTTTGCGCTTTAACTTCCGTGATGGACTCTACCATCTGCCTTCCAGGACTTGGCCTTGACTTGAATTAAATTAAACTTTCTTTCCGTCTATTTCTAAAATTTATTCTTGCTTTTATTTAATTTTTTACCGGTGTCATTTTCATTTGCAAGTGCTTTGGAAAATTGCATTGCCTTTGAAGAACCCTTTGCCTTTGACTGTCCTATTTTTGTAAGTACCGCCCTCAAGTACTTCTAAAATAATTTGAAACCTTTTTGAGGCCTTTGGGGTTCGCTGAAGGGGGTTTTGATTCTTCCGAATAAATAAGTAGTTTTACAGAGTTAACTGTTCCGTTCAAAACGGCAATTTAAGCGTGTCTCACTTGGTTTTTCGGTTGTACATAAAAACGTTTGTTGCTTTGCATTTACCAGATTTATGTAATTCATAACTCATAAGTTCGACTGTATCCGGTTTTTATACATAAATAAGCTGTTCACACACCTCTTAGTATAGCCACAATGTCATATACGTGATATATGCACAACATAACTGATACAATCGTCTCTGTCCTATTTTAGCAAATGTATGAACACACAAGAACATTCCAGCCATTTCAGTCAATCACATGAGAGAATACGTCTGCAATGTACTACCATGTAGTATATAGGGAAAGTAGGAGGGAAAGCTTCGAGTATATAAAGCTGCAATCGTATGTATAATTTTGTGTGCTAAATAAACCTAAACAAGCTACCAAGGAAAACTCATTCGTTTCCCATTCGTCGCTTCGCTTGGAGTCCAAGCTACACATTAAGTTCAAAACGAATGGATGAGAGTTAAAATGAGCCACACACATACACATGCACATTCATACACACACACAGGGCAAGTGAGCATAAGTACGCAACGAGTACAGAGAATAAATCACACGAAATGCGAATGGAACGAAACGAAACCGAAGCACAGTACCAAACAGTCTCTTACATACATTCACTCTTTCACCAGGCAGCCTCTGCCCCACCTTTCATCGCCTAACCACCCACCACCCCATTCCACCCTTTCCAACCTTCTATCAGAGGCAGCGACGACGACGTCGCTTAAAAATCCCACAACAGTAGACTGCGAAGCCGAAAGGTGGCCTCTGAAAGTGTGCGGAGTGTGGGGACGGGGTGGCGAAGACACACAACCAGAGACATGCAGACGACAAAAAAGGCGGAGTCTAAAAACTGGGGAGCAAAACAACAACAACAACGTCAACTGAAAAAGGAAATAAAAATCATGTAAGACTGAGACACACACCCACACATATATATAGGTATTAAAGCGGCAACTCGTGTGCAGCAATATACCCACAACAACAACAACAACATGCGCGTCTGTATGTATGTGTATCTATGTGTGAGCAGCTCTCTCTTTCTACCCCTGAAGCTCTCTCTTTCCCTCAACTGGAGCTTGAAACGAAAAAAGCGTGGAGCAAAAAAATGAAGCGAATGCCGAGTAAAAGCCGAGCTGCGCAGCCGGCAGCGCTGCTGGCGCCTCAGCCACAGTCGACGTCGACGGAGCGTGTATGACGAATTCAACTCGCATTGCACACTTTCATACGTGTCCCGGAGGTGGAGCTAGAAGGGAGTGGGTCGGGAACGGAAACGGGAACGGGAACGTGAGCGATAAGGGGAAGGGGAGCGGAGCTTGAAACAGGACAAGGGTCGAGGCGGAGATGATGACGATGCCTGATTCGTACATTGGTAAATACATACGAAAGTACCTATCCGAACGTGTGTTTGAACATATGTACATATGTATACTCATATACATTAGAGAGTTGCATGTGTTTTTCAATTTATTTCAGCCGATAAGAAAAGGTAGCGAAGATGGAGATAACCGGCGTCTTTCACAAAGTGACTTGAAGAGTTTTAATATATTAGCTAACTCTTATCGGTGATAAGGCACTTTAGGTTCCAAAGTTTCCATATAAAAAATCACTTTGAGGACATTGCCCATTTAAGATAGCAATGTATTTCACAGAACAAAGATGGTCATAATCTCATTATCCATGTTTACCACTAGAATCGCAAAAACAAAAAATAATCGTATGCAGAAGAAACGCCCTAGGTAATAAACCTCTCGTATTCTGGCTCCTTCCTATGCAGATTTTAGCGACAAAACGCGACTACAAGCAAATTGCGCAAATTCAAAACGGAAATGTTTCCATCAGTAAACGAGAGTAAGAGACGAAGACGAAACGAGCCCTTTTCACCAAGGCAAGATGAGGCGGCGAGAATATAAATTAAAAATCCGACTTAATGCGCAAAAAAAAGAATGGCGAAAATCTGTGCATTTGTTAGAGGAAACAAAATATCCACAAACAAAATATGCCATCGGACGGGAGAATTATTTGAAGTAGGGAGCATGGCGGAGCACAATCCAGTAGACGTTTAGTGGAAGTCGAAGCCAACTGACGACGCTCTGTCTGTGGGGAAAAACACTCTAGCTGGCTGTGTAGTGGGCCCAGAGAGACAAGAGCACTCTTGTGAGAGAGGAAAGCCAACCGGGTATTCGGAGCGTATGAGTGACTTTTTGAGCGCTCTATGGCAGTCTCTCTCTCTGCTATTCGGTGTGACTCGGTTTTGCTTATTTATCTTTTGCCTTTTTATATACTGAGACATATAGTGAAAGGGTTAAAAACCTGTGATCTTTCGAGACACCCCCACTAACTTTCTCCCTTATTTATTGACAATAGTTAGGAGTTGGACTTTTCTTGTCTAAATTATCGATTAATCTTCTCAGTTATTTAATTTGATGTGTTCGACAGAACATTGGAGTTCTGCACTTACCCTGGTGACACCTTTAACAATAACATGTCTACAGTGGTTAAGCAACCCTACCAGCGTTAACCCTTAATTTCTGGAATTAATACAGAGTCATTACTCTTGCGACGGAATTTCCTCCAAGTGGCCGGGCAGCTGGCGGTTATATATGTTTTTACTGATTTTTCACATCTTTCAATTGCCTTTCTTCCGCTCTAACCGTAAAAGCCTAATTAATAATTTTTCTTTAAAACATCATCATCGTTTGCTACGCAAATCAATCAGCTTGGCATTTAGGAAAATTCGTTTCCTTTCATTTTTCTCCCCTCGGAAGTTAAAATGTGAAAACGGTAGTCTTGCCCTCTAGTTGAAAAAGACCCACACAGGTTAAGCGACTGAAGTACTCGCTGATGAAATAGACAGAATTAATTAAATGTTTAACTTAAAGATCTTTGACATTTTGTTTGACGTTATAAATGACTAAATATTGAGCATCAAAATGTATTATAATCAACCAGGTAACAAATATTCCAAGACCGGTTTCAGTTTCTCTTAATTTAGTAAGCAGCTAAGTAATGGACTCACTTACGTTATAGTCTATATCACCTCAACAGTGAGTAATATTTCCGCCAACACCAGTAAGAGCCTTAAACGTGCCCTCGATCGCGAGATTGATCATTTAGCAAGCGTTACCACCTATTTTGGCTGGTGCTGCACTTATACATTTTGTGTGGCTTCCTTCCAGGCATAGCGAGGTGTTTTTTTTTACGACGAAATGCATTTTTTTTACATTGCACTTTCTACACTCTTTCAAAGAGTTAAGTAAACGCGATTTAATTGGAAATGAAGACTGTTGCAGTGCAACTTAATCGATAAACAAAAAGGTATGCTTGAGCAAAAAACAGTTTGTTGTGATTGGATAACACCATATAAATGATAATTTTCGAGCATAATCAGGTATGAGTAACAAAGATACCAGAGTATAATCTACTTCGTCGTGCAAAACAATTTTGTATTCTTTTTTTTTTTTTTTTTTTTTTATCTTAGGTTTAGGTTTTAATTTATGACTTTGGCGATATTATGCTTCTTATTTGAATATAATTTCTTCATAGCAAAAGGAGCTATTTTGCTCTAAAGCCCCATTGAAGAGTTAAAGCGGTCCCCGTTTTACATTGACTTTCAAAGCATAGGCAGAACGCTGTCGATGGGCTCTCAGGCCGAATCAAACGAATCAAAATCCGGAAAGTACATTAACAGGTCTATGATTTATTTAGAGCAGAATCGAATTTCAAGCATCTCTGAGACCTCGTTAGTTAGATACATCGAAGAGAGAATAAGCCACAGATGAACGAAGTTGCAAATAAAAAAGGGATACGGGTTGAGAGCCGAGAGCCGCGTGCTTGGAGATCAATGCTTGCAAAATCGATTTTGGCACCAGCAAGAGCTTGGACATCTTCCACGCTCCGACATCGCTTCGTTAGCTGAACCAGATGCCAGTGGTCTTGGGAAATCTTGTCCAGACGGCAAATTTAGCTGTAAAATGTCATTTCGTGCAGACAAGTTAACAAGGCAAATAATAATGTTGACGGGTAGCATGGACCCAATCCCAATAACCGAAATTCAAGTCGGTTCGGTCAACTGGCTTACTGGGTCAATCTGATTAGTTTGAAGAGTCGCTCCACGTCCAGTTTGCCTGCAACCAGCTTTAAGTGTCGAAATCTTTTCGCGTAACAATAAACCATCGGCTTCGATTATGAGAGCCCCCTTTCCTCTGTGGTGCGCTGAACTTTCTGATGACATTTAAATTTGTCTAATTACCGACTAAAGTTCAAATCCAGTCCGATGATGGATCAATAGTAGGCACGCCACAGAAACGTAGATACGAATACGTAGATACGCTTCCACGGTTCGTTCACACAAAGTTCTACAAAATTTCTCACACTATCTCCCCAGCAACTACAATGGGTGAAAATATAATAGACACATTATAACCCCAGACAAAACAGACAAATACCCAAACTACAATTCGTCAATTGTATTCAAATTTATGCAAATGGGGTGGGTCAGCAGAGGAAGATCTAGAAGAAGTTTTCCCCGAAGTGCCCAGTAACGTGCCATGAAATTGATCTTCACACTTGAAACAATTTGAAAGCGCTCACATGCTGGGCCCTGGGCAGCTCGACTGTTGTCTCTCGCTCAAGAGTTCCAAATAAAGCATTTCAGGGCGCTTGGATCGTTTTGCCTGTTGTTTGACTTGGCAGTGGGGTCTGGTGTTTGATCCGCTGATCTGGTGTTTAATCTCGATTAGTTTCTGCTGAGCTTGGATCAGCGCATATGCCTGACGAGAGACGTCTGGTCTTCGCTTTATCGGTGTTGTTGTGGTCTTGAGCTGCTAATCACGCGTGCAACATGCCGCAAAGGCAAAGATACAAAGGGATCAGCGCTGGCATGTTGGCCGAGGGTCTGGACCATTGTTTGCTGCAGATTTAAGTTGAGAGAAATGTGTGTCAGCTAACTTTTCTTCGTTGGAACGGGCGAGGAGGGAAAAGTTGCAAATTGTTTCTGTTATTAAAAAGGTACAACTGATCTGACCCCAAGCCCAGTCTTTTTCTACTTGTATGTTTGATAGCTTGGCGCTTTTTATTTCTAGCGATGTGCTCGAAAATATTCTCACATCAAGCTTATTTAATGTTGATGCGCCGATAAAGAGAGTCTGATAGACAAGTAAATCGCCAACTGCCCAACAAAAGGGGCCCGTAGACGGACGACCTGATCTGGGAGCACAAATCGGTTGTGGCATGATGATGGTATGCATCGTTGTATGCACCAGCTGATCAACCTGGACACGGAACACCAGCGCCGACAATTAGAATCAAATTTGATGCTGCGCTTATTGTCGGCTGGGCTCCATCTGCAACTGCCTCTAACTAGGAAGTTTCGCTATGAACACATTGTGCGTCACGATGCGGCCTCCGATCGAAATCTTGTACTCAACTGGGAAGTCGGCATACTCACACACGCTAAAACTCGGGCTACCTTTCCCTTCGTTTTGATCCGTACGGCGTGGCCGATGATGCTGCTGATTCGGATCTTCTAGTTTTTATGTTCTGATCTTGATTTCGATTTCAGCCTCAGCGACATGCACTGTTGGTGGGTTCTGGTTGTATTGTGTTTCTGCAGCGCGCCGGCGACGACTCGCCGGCGCGGCAGCTGCAGCTTCAACTCTGAACTTGCAACAAATTCAAGCGCCAAATTTGAATGCCCCACCACGACGATGAAGATGATGACAATGATTGGGCGCGGACGGAGGGCGACTGCTGAAGGAGTTGCGGGGGTGACAAAAGCGTGTTGTGTATGCGATCGGTTGGTTCTGAGCTCTACTCCCAGAGCACGGTTGGCTCCCTTCTCTCATTGTATTTTTTTTTTTTCGTATGACACGACGAACATGATCTTGTTGCAGCAGTTGTTGTTGTGCTTGCTGTTTTTGTTAGTAGATCACTTCGCTCTTTGTGTGGCTTTATCAGTCGAGACAAGCGCTACGTTTATTGCTGCAGGAGTTACGAAGGAGTTGAGTTCAGTGCAGTTCCTGGCGTACTCAACCAGCAACTCCACCTACACCACAGAACCCTCGCTCTGGGCTGGCCCTCTTGACCACGTGATCACGATTTATTTGCTCGCATTGCATTGTTGCGGTTCTTGTTTTTGTTGCTGTTTGTTTGGGCCTAAATACCCCGCGTGTTGCTGCTGCTGTTGAAGCAGCCACTGTGGCCGCTGCCGTTACCGCGAACGTTCCCTCCGCTGCCTCCGAAATTGATGCCTGAAACTATTCCCGTTGCAGCTTGATCACAATGGTATTATACCATGGCGGCAGCATTGGGAATCGAAAATTTGCCTTTACAGAACATGAGCCCTGCGACCGGATTTAAACCGCAAAATTT